ATGATTTTCGAGATATTCTTTAAAAGCATCGAAAAGATTATATGATCTTTCATGATAAAGCTCATTTTACCTGCTTTTATGAATTCTGTCGCCCACTCATTAAATAACTTGCGACTATTTCTGGAGAATATTTCATAAGTAAATGTTTTTTTTTATAAGATAAGGGTGACAAACGAGCACACTGTCCTCCTGATGGTAAGTGGTTGCTGCGGCCCATAGACATCTACATCTATCCTCGTTTGCGAATCAAAATGCAGATGCGTTGTCACCCGTGAGGACTAAGATGGAATGCCTCATTTGCAGTAAAAAGGGCCTCCGGCCACCTGCACTCACCAAGCAAAACGCAGAGGTAAACCTCTACTTCACTCTGGTATTCTGTGAGGTCGTGATACCACCCCGGTTCGAGCCGGCCCATCCGTGCGACAGCAAAAGCTGCCGCGTGGCTGTACCACTGTTATTAGTTTTATTAAATTCATTGCTTAGAAGGGTAAATAATTCTCCATATAAATAGTCTGCATTGTTCTTATAAGAACGCGATGGAAGGTTTTTTACCATATTACTTCTAAATCTTAGCTTAGCTAGAGATTACCTCTATTATCTTATTATATATTATATAATCATTTGTAAAATTATTTTGCTGCTCAATAAAAGCAAGTGTCAAGTTAGCAGGGGCGTAGCTACCGGCGTATCAGCCGTATCAATGATACGGGGCCCCGGGCTACAGAAAAGCAAAACTTCTAAGGACTTCATGTTGGTTTGAATTGTCTGGCTAACTTAGTTCCTAGGAGTATTAATTGGAAGTAGTGACTTATAATCAATATATAATTATTTTAATTCAGTGCGAGAGTTTTTGTTCCTTTTGTAAAAAATCTTTACCCTTCATTTGGGCCCCCCCCCCCCCAACAAATTTTGATACAGGGCTCTAAGGCACGCTACTCCACTGCAAGGTAGCCAAAAATTTGTCTGGGTAAAATATAAATAATAAGATTTGCGTATTTGCTACCAGTCTCAAACTAAACTTTGATAGGTAATACCTATCTCTTGTCAAAAACTTCTTAGTTAAATTATTAATATCAACCAAATGAAATTTATCATTAATATTCTTACAATTAAATGTCAAATTTAAGTTATCGTTACATGTGAAATTTACTACGTTCTTGGATCTGCTATGGCACTTGGCTGGCTTCCATTTAGATCTTGTCAACACTTTTATGAGTGGAGCCGACAACGGACTGGATGGACGTCGATTGTATCGAACTTATCCGCCTTTATTACATAATTTATATTAAGATATCATTAACTTTTGGAAACAGTTTATCCTTTTAATAATCTAAATAAGCAGGAACTAAATACCGAGGAAGTTGTTGGTGCAGTTAGCATCAATTATAATGCACTTAAAACAAACCGTATCAATAACTTTACTTACTGACGTTTACTTTACTACCGCGTGCCTCTGAGGGAATAAAAACCTGTGTTTGCGTACACACTCGTGCACGTTGGTCAAAAGTTCTATGGTTAAAGTTTATTCTATAATTTATGATTATATTATATAGAGCGTGGTCCTTTCCTAGTCGACCAACCGGCCGCCATTCCGATAACCATAATATAGCTGCAGCATGACTCTAGGAGATATACAGAGAACAATAACTTTATAAAAAAAAGTAGATCATACCATTTCATACACTCCGTCCACAATACAGAGAATTTTTTACCTTATTTATAGCCCCGCCTAGAGTAATAGTGTTCTGTGCTCTGTCGTATAAGCTATGGGATTATGGTCAACTTGTACAGTGACGGATCGCTGCTTCTGTGTTATCGTTTGAAAGAAAAGGATTTAAAATGGATATTCATATGTAAGAATGGTGCGATTTGGGGTTTAAATATCGGCACGTCAGCTGTACTTGGAAACGACTATTTATAGTATCACTATTATCAATCCGCTCGGTTAAACTGTCGCCAAGTCTCCCAAAAACTGCATAATGTTACGCATTAGCATATTGTGAAGAATTTTGTGATCAAAATAAAAAACCTGACTAAGGCTGTATGGATTAAGACTTTTGCCTACCTCAATTGGCAAAATTTTATCATTATCACAAACTGTCAAATTTAGCTTGATAATTTTGACAGCTCACGCCTATATATATATATATTTAATATATATATAGCGATATATAGTTTCATATTTTTTTAGATAAATTGTCATATAGATATTGTTTTTTTTTTCTTCCATTTCTTGGCCTGCACGGTTTATGCGTCAGCCATGTCTTCCATTTTTCAATATATAATTATCCTTCATAGTACAATTGTATCCTACATGGTACACTGCTTCACAATATGTTGATGCGTCACATTGTGAAGTTCTTGGGAGATTTTGACGACAACTTGAGCCAGCAGACAGTTGGCGATGGTATCTCAAGGCGCCTAAGCAGACACCTTATCTTGAGAATCACATCACCATTAGAGCACTTGTTTCACCGTTTCCACTGATAGTTCAGATGCGTAGATACTTAATACACAAAATCGCACCACTTTTACATATCAAAGTCCACTTCAAACCATTATTTAAACAATAATACAGGAGCAGCAAACCGCCGCCGGTCAAGTTCCCGCCAAAACTCTATAGATATTGTTGTACTTCAAGGATGGGTACCGCCCACTTCCGATAGTGTTGTACAACTACCATAACGAACAACCACAGACTATCAAAAATCGGTTTTGAAAGAAATCGAATATATAAAAATCACGTAAATATGTACTGTGACTCTTTCTTGGCAAAATATGTTCTATTAACGGTACTGATTGCGTGTCAGCCCTATATTGTCAGCTGTTATTCTGAAAAATAGTATCTATATATGGAAATCAAAAATAGTATCTATTGACTCCAAGATTGTGGCAACATTTACAGCCTGTTATCCTTCTGTTAGTCAGCCATTTTCTGCTACCTACTGTTTTTCTTTCGAGTTTTTCTTTAACTTTATGTTATTTTTCTGCAGACTTCAAAAAGGAGACGGTACTCAATTCGACTGTATGTTTTTTTTTGTGTGTTACCTCAACTTTTTACTGGGTAAACCGATTTCGATGATTTTTTTTATTTGAAAGCTGGTTCTGCACATGTGGTCCCATATAAATTTGATAAACCTGTGATAACGTTACTGCAGATGACTAGAGAAAAGTCGTGGAACACACAAGAAATAGAATACCGAGTGACGAAAAAGTTATCACATAAAATGAAAAGACGTATGCTACATAAATTTCTTTAAACATACACAACTAAAAAATATATATAACAATTAATACATTAGTCGCGGTAGGATTTTTTTCGTTTTAATATTAAATAACATCATGTAAATGCATACAGATATCACCTGATGAATTCTAGAAGGTCAAAGACCCATGCCATTTGAAGGCGAATATAGGTAGTTTAAACGTTGTCAATCCGAACTACTCAAATAAAGAAAAAAATCAAACAAAAACTGTACTTACGGCTAACAATTAAAGGCATAATTTTATGCGCGAAAATAAAAACAACAGTTCCGCGTGCTGCGGGTGTGTGAAAACAAATTCAAACGAAAAATTTACTTATAATAATGAATTTAAGGCATAATTCGAGAATTATGCCTTAAGTTCATTTTTTTAAGTAAATTTTTCGCATAGAGATGCGCGAAGTGACAAGAAATGGGACCGGGTGTCGAAATTATTATTTTTCTAGCGCGTGCGACGTTTTGTAGGTCACTTCAGGTCAGTAACCTATATATTATCAAGGCTGATTTATTCCTTGTCAAATTTTTACGCTATTTTGTTTTAAAAATGCATTTTTTATTTTCTTTTATTAATGTTTAATTTATTATTTTAACAGACATATATCAACTTGTATTAACTGCTGTGCTATTTAACGTGATAACCTTTTCGCCACCCAGTATATACTAGAAGACTGGGAGCGAGATGTTCACTTTGACAGAGTTTGTGAACAAGAATTAATAATCAACGTACCTACGGCACAATTCTAGTAATGAGCCTAGTGATGATGATAACAATTTACTTGATTTAGGTTATGCACCATTATTTAAATAATAAATAGCTATAAGTACAATTCCTTGTTTTATTTCACACTAAGCCCTTTCACAAAATTTATTTCGATTCGCACATATTCTACTAAATAGTCTGACTGACCCAATAAAAATATGCACGAGACGAAGTCATTATTGTGGGAGGGATTTTATTATCGGATTTAATAATTTATTATTAATTCAATAGATAAATTTCAAATTGTTCAAAATTTCGAATCCATGCAGCATAAACATGCAACTATCGATAGGATGTTCTATGAAAATAATAATCGAACAGATTCATTAACGATTATACACCACCTCTTTCCTACAGTGCGCTGTCAAAATTATCATGCTAAATTTGACAAAGTACATAAGTAAGAACTAAGCATAGACCATAGAGAACTAAGTCAACTAAGAAATGCTTGTGCAATCATTCACAATCTTTATCAAAACAACAATAATAATAACCTATAATTTCTACTATGTTAAAACGCAGTGATTTTATAGTATTTGACGATGATAATTTATACTGATAATAATAGTTGATGCATATCGAAAGCAAGAATGATTTCATGTCTAAGACATTCAAATTCATGCGAGCATGAAATACTTGAAGTTGTCAGAACTCATTGAAAGTTGCCGAACTAGGAAAAAAAAGAAAAGAAATAATTTGTATGCACCTTACTTTACTTTACTATATCTATGCATACTTTTCATTCTCAGCAATTGTAAATATGTACACTACATTGTGCAAAGAGAAAAATAACTATTATATCATAATGATTAAGTACAAGGTCGAACAAGTAATAATTTGATGTAATTTCATCAGTCAACTGAGTCTCAAACTCTGGACTGGTTTTAGTCGTTCTCAATTTTTACAGTTTCGTTACCAATTAGTTTACTGTATCACTGTAAACTGAAAACTTATTATTTTCAGCAAGGCCAGCTGAAATGACTATACTGAGTAAAGTTATTGATTACGACCAGATGGAGAATATTACAACAGAATTTAATAGATTAGCAGGTATGTAATTGTTTTAGCATCATCATAATTTTCATATAATGTATGCATTTATAGATTTTAATTGTAATGAACCTCACAACTACTACTATGACAAAGATTTCTTTTTGAACCAAATTATTATATGGTTCAATACATGTTAGACAGTTGTTGACAGACATGTTAGACATGTGAATTCCGCCAACATGCATTGGGGCAGCGAGGTGGACACATCCTCACCCTAAAATCCGCTCAGAATGACGGAAGGCCTGTTCCCATAAGTAGGAGGTATACATGTACAGGCTGCAACTTTAAGTTTAACCCTGTTGGCAGCAATAAACAAATGTGTTAAATATGTTCCAATAACATATTAATGTAATTAATGATTATTTTAAAAATTGCAGTGTTAAAAAAGTAAATATACATTATACTTACTCTACTAACTTAAATTACCTATATATCTTTAATCTTAATACTTAAAATGGGCAATTCTTGTTAAAAAAAAAATATAATTAGTTTCACAGAAATGAGTCAATGGGATTTAGATGATATTTAAATATTTTAATTTTCTAAGTTTATACATGTATCTCTTACCAGGTTCTCTTAACTGGGTGGCTACTTGCGAAGCTTTCTTCCCCATTTTTGTGTGAATTAGTGAACTAACACTTCGTAATTTTCAATTTAAAATATTTTCTTTTTGTCAGTTAATTTATTATATTTTAGGATCATTATATTTAATTTATATAGTCATTAATTTTGTTTTTATAATACTATAAAAGTATAATTAGTAATCATTATAGAAGAAGAGAGATTTTGAGATTTTTTTTCTGTGTGAAACTTGGTCACCCAGGTACTGCCAATATAATATAAATTAACCATTGTTGCCATGGTTGGCAGGTATAAGTTGCACTGCAGTCTTTATTTTTATTACGAAAATACTCCTCATCACAACATGGTTTATTTCCCTCCATATACCTCTTAATACATTTATGAAAATATAATGTACATACATAAAAATAAAACTTAAAGTTAAGTTACAGCCTATATACGTCCCACTGCTGGGCACAGGCCTCTTCTCATTTCCGAGAGGGTTTTAGGGTAAGGAAATGTCAGCCGCGCTGCCTCAATGCGTGTTGGCAAACTTCACATGTCTTCGAAATTTTTTTTTTATTTCTCAGACATGTAGATATACTCACTATGTTTTCCTTCATCTCCGAGCATGTAGTAAATCGGCACTTAAAATTGCAATTAACAATTTCATTATTGCCGGCAGGATTGAACCCTAGTTGCTTGTGTACTGTGAAACTTACAGCGAATGATAACCATCTATACAACCACTGCTCTTAAAATAAAAGTAGTTTTACAAAAATAAGTGTATTCGTTCTGAAAATACTAGGACGAGACAAGCTGGTATTACCAGTTACTCGACAATTTTGTTGAAAATTTGACCTGCTCAAATTTCAAAAACTTTATTTAACTAAATTTGTATAGGAAGGTTTATTATAATATTAAGGAATTTATAGATGATAATAACCCCTGGGAATGAGGTGATCGCTACCAAGCTATTTCTAATTTATTTTAAGTTTTTTATTGTGTAATTTTGTGTAATTTAATTTCCACACGTCTGTTATTATGAGTGAGATTAAGAGGTTCTATGGGCAGCTGTACACATCATCGTTGGAGCCACACGCAAATGTGATTAACGATCCAAGAGCAAGTCTTATCCGACACTGTTCCAATGATATCCCGGACGTTAGTCTAAGCTAGATTAGAATGGCTCTGTAGCACATTAAAAACGGCAAGTCCGCCGGTACTTAAAGTCCTTCAGAAGCTATTTAATTCCGTCCTCCATGGTGCCACTACTCCGGAGGCATGGAGCAGAAGTGCGGTGGTATTGTTCTTCAAGAAAGGTGACAATGCTCTCTTGAAGAACTACAGACCGATTTCCTTTCTGAGCTGCTTCTATGTGCTGTTTTCGAGAGTCATTGCATCTCGCACGCAGACTCGACGACTTCCAGCCTCCCAAACAAGCCGGTTTCCGAAACGGCTTAGCACCATAGACCACATACACAGCCTTCAGAAAATTGTACAGAAGACCGAAAAGTACAATTTGCCGCTGTTTTACGTTTGTGGACTATGAGAAAACCTTTGATTCCGTCGAAATTTGGGCGATGCTGCAGTCACTTCAGCAGTGCAAAGTTGACTGTCGGTATATCGAAGTGCTGAAGTGTTAGTACAGTAGGGCTTCGTTGAGCTATCCGAGTACAGAACCAGAGTACGAAACCTGTCCAACTGCAGAGAGGTATTAGACAGGGTGACTTTATATCCCCAAAACTTCACCACTGCATTGGACGACGTTTTCAAGCTTCTGGACTGGAAAGAATACGGTATTAACATCAATGGCGAGTACATCACTCACCTTCGATTTGCCGACGATATAGTCCTTATGGCAGAATCGCTGGAGGACCTAAGCACTATGCTCAATGAGTGCCTACCAAAAGATAGATCTTAAGACGAGCATGGACAAAACAAAGATCATGTATAACGTCCATGTCACACCTATGCCGGTAGTTGTTGGGAGCACTAAGCTCGAAGTTGTCGACAAGTATGATTATCTGGGACATGTTTACATAGTCCGACTAAGTAAGTCGCAACTTCGACCGAGAGTTCAATCAACGAATTCAACTCGGCTGGGGAGCGTTCGCGAAATTACGACACATCTCGTCTGGTATACCTCAAAACTTGAAAACGAGACTACCACGAGTGCGTGTTGCCAGTAAAGACTTATGAAACTGAGACGTGGTTCTTCACTGCTGGCCGTATGAGGAAGCTCAAGGTCGCTCAGCGAGCTATGGAGAGGGCTATGCTCAAGGTTTCTCTGCGTAATAAACTTAGAAATGAGGATATCCCCAGTAGAACCAGAGGGACCGACATAGCTCAACGGATTAGTAAGCTGAAATGGCAATGGGCCGGCCATATAACTCGACAACCGATGGGGAAAAAAGGTTCTCGAGTGGCAGCCTCGTACCGATAGGCGGAGTGTAGGGCAACCCCCCCACTAGATGGAGTGGCGACCTGGTAAGCCATGCAGGAAGTGGATGGATGCAGGTGGCTCAGGGCCGTGCTTTGTGGCATTCCTTGAGGGAGGCTTTTGTTCAGCAGTGGACTTGTGAAGGGCTGTAATGATGGTAAAGCACACTAGATAAAATTAAGGAGATTCTATTAACTTAGTCCTTGAAAACAACCATGCCATAATCAGAGATAACAACACTAGTTATTGTATTCCTTGCCTGTACAAATTATAAACGATGAAGTGGCAAATCGTCCTTGCTCCTCTGGAAGGTCCTTGTCCAGCAGTAGTCTGTTACGGGCTGTTAAAAAGGAAGATTATTATTTTTTATGGTTATGACAAGGCAATTCCCTCAATAATTTTTTTTTCTTTTTTCAGACAGGTGTTATCTGGATCATGCAGGTGCTGCATTGTATCCACAATCATTGCTCCAACATGTTCATGATGATTTACTCAATAATGTTTATATGAATCCACATACTGATAGATACACCAAAGAATGTATTGAGCAAATCAGATTTTTGATCTTAAACCACTTTCATACAGATCCATCCAAATATTCCGTAGTATTTACCTCAGGAGCAACACAATCATTAAAACTTACTGTGGAAGCATTTGATTTTGCATCAAACACAAATGATGGATTAGATTGTGGATCATTTGTTTATCTCAATGAAAACCACACATCAGTACTTGGTTTAAGAGAAATAGCAGAGGATAAGAATGTAGATGTTATAAATATATCTCATGAGAATTTTCTCAAATCTATTAAACACACAGATACTACTACAAAACCCATGGTTAAAGATAAAACTGATGGCAATATCCTTCTTACATATCCAGCTTTAAGCAACTTTAATGGTTTTAAGTATCCTATAGATTGTATACAAAATATAAAAAATGGGTGTTTGAACAGATATTTGATGAAACATTTATGCAAAGTAAATTGCAATTGGTATGTTTTACTAGATGCAGCTTCTTTTGTGCCGTCAAATAATTTGGACTTGTCGCAGACCCAACCTGATTTTGTTTGCATGTCATTTTACAAAATTTTTGGCTACCCAACTGGATTGGGTGCACTTTTGATTAAAAACACGAGTGGAGATGTATTATGTAAAAAACGATATTTTGGTGGTGGAACAGTCGATATTGTATTGAGTAATGAGAACTTTCATGTAAAACGAAAAATTCTCCATGAAAGGTATTTTTTCAAATGATACTATTTTCAAGCTTTCTTTTATTGCTACCTTTTTGTTTTAAAATTATTTAGTACTTTTATTTTCCAGATTAGAAGATGGATCTCTTCCATTTTTATCAATATTAGCATTAAAACATTGCTTTGACACATTACATAGGTTAATTCCTAAGACAATTAACAATGATATGATGGACACTATAGCTTATCATACATATACTTTGGCAAAAGATTTATATAATCAGTTAATGGAACTTCATCATCCAAATGGCAAGAAAGCCGCTATCCTCTATATGGATTCCGATTTTTCAGATATAAAAACACAGGGTGGAATTGTCACATTTAATCTTCTGAGAGATGATGGATCATACATTGGCTATATGGAGGTAATTACATAAATATGTGTTAACATAATTTTCTATTCATCACAGCCTATCAAAAATCCACTGATGAACATTAGCCTCTCCAATAGATTGCGTCATAGGGTACTTCCCATAGTTGGTATGCTTCACAGAAGTGTAAGCAACTGCAATTTTATATTTCATATTATTTTAATTTAATTTTTAAATTCTGTTGCAGTTCCAAAACATGGCAGACTTATTCAACATTAATGTGAGAACAGGCTGTTTCTGCAATGCTGGTTCATGTCAAAGACATCTAAATGTAGCCAATAGAGAATTGAAGGAAATGTACAAAGCAGGTCACACGTGTGGTGATGAAACAGACTTAATCAATGGAAAACCGACTGGCGCTATTAGAATCTCATTTGGCTATTATAATACCTTCAATGATGTGGATAAACTTATTTTAATGATCTGTCGATGTTTCGTACGTATGAAGTTCAAGAGACCAAAGCGTTTTATGACTTATTACGAAGAATTTACTGCCTCCAAATCTATTAAGAAATCATACAAAGATGAAATGCTTAACTTATCAAGTGACAGAGTTTACTTAAACACCAATTATCTATCGCCCGAACCGACTGAGGGGAACATTGTTTTAGATGAAATAGCTATATATCCAGTAAAATCGTGTGGAGCTTTCAAAATAAAAACAGCTTGGAAAATAGGATCAAAAGGTTTTGAGTTTGACAGGGAGTGGATGATAGTAAGAGAAAATGGTGTATGTTTAACTCAAAAGCAAAGTACAGAAATGTGTATCATTCAACCAGAAATTGATCTGAAACACAAACTTTTGACTCTAAATTTTAAAGGTTTGTGTTTTTATTTTATTTTTCCGAATTGTAGGTTAAGAATTTTTGTATTTGGGGTAGTATTAAAAATTTATTAATAACAAAATTATATTTTCCGAAGGTGATGCCATGGTAATTGATAATAATAAAAATAATTTAATTTTAGGTATGCCTTCAATATCCATATCACTAAATCAAGTTACAGAAAATGTAAGCAATCATGGTTCTTTGTGCAATAGTAAAGTTTGCATGGATATAGTAAAAGGCTATGACTGCGGAGATGAAGTTGCAGATTGGATCTCAAATGCATTAGGTATTTCATATCTAAGATTAGTAAAACAGTCGAACACTGACAACAGAATTCAAAAGAAAAACATTGAAGGTGATCAGAAATTATTATCATTAAGTAATCAAGCTCAATTTCTATTAATAAATAAAGCCACAGTGAGATGGCTACATAAAAAAATTAAAGATCCATTGTTCACAGCCAATATTGAAAACTTAACTGACCGTTTTAGAGGAAACTTGATTATTGACATGAAAGATGAATTAGTTGAAAAAGAGTGGCAAAGAGTAATAATAGGAAGTCATGAATTTAAGGTAATTTTCATTTATCAATTAAAATTTGTATCTTTCATCCATTGCTGCAGCCGTAACACTAATTATGAAGTTCATCATTAATCATCAGTTTTATTATTTTTAATTAAAAATAATAATTTTAGGTGGAAGGAACTTGTCAAAGGTGTCAAATGGTATGCATTGATCAACAAACAGGAGAGAAAACTGCTGAACCTCTCAGAACTATCTCGGAGCAATTTGCAGGAAAAATGAGATTTGGCATATATTTAAGTTACATAGACCCAGTAAATGGAGCTAAAGATAAATTTTTAAAAGTAAAATCACAAGTGAAACCTGTGATAAATGATGATAACATAAGCAGATGAAAGTGCTTGTTAAAGTTCTGTCCTTATCAAATCCTAATATATCATTCCTATTTTTACTGTTATGAAAATATTGTATGTGATATATTGAATTTAAAATGCCTTATTATTACGTATGTACATTATTTGTAAAACAAATTAATATGTATATTTACTTTACTTCAAAATATACAGAATAAATGTTCCTTTTTATTATAGAAAATATATATTTAATTGATATTTATTTTTAATTATATTTCTGTAAGTAGAATTATCTGTAAGATATACTATATTAGATCCTCTTAAGGATGGATACTTATACATTTTCAGTGTTATTACTTTATTATGAATCAAAAATATTTTGTTATTTAATTAAACTGTACTGAGTACTTACTTTTATTAGAAACTAGCGTATACAAGTAAATAATATAATACTTCTAATTAATAACAAACAGGGACATTTACTAGGAAATATTAATTTAATAATAAAACATAATTAAATGTTAAAAAATTAACAAATTGTTTATTAATACACAAATATGCACATTGCCTTTTAGCATATTATGTTGGTTATTATTATTAAAATGTTTTCTTTGGTAGTCAAAGAGTTTAAAAGGGATAGAGCCAAAGCAGCTCAGAGGACAGCTGCTATCCCTTAAATTTACAGAATTTACATTACTATATTATTATGTATATGAGCTCACATATTATATGATTCATAGAAATATGAAAAAAACTGAGTTTAGTTTATACTTCAAATGTACATTACTGAATTCATAATACTGTAGGTATGAGACATTTAGTAGTATGGCACATACATTATTGTGAGGTACACTGGTTTGCTTTCAATATCTGTACTATGAGATGAAAAACTGTTGAAGTTTTAACTAAATTTAAATACCCTTTAAAATTGTCCTGTAGAGCACTAAATAGGTGTATTTTCTGGTCATGTGGCTTATTAGTTTTAGTATTAAATATAACAAATTCTTATGGATAGAACTACATACTTCTTTTCTATCCTTTATAAAGAAGAACACTGTTTGCTTTTTATTTGCATATCACAAATATGATGACAGATTACCAGAACAATAACTTTTTGACGGTATTCATTTTTATGTTGTACAGAATATTTCTAGATTTTGTGATTTCAGCATGAATGGAAAGAAATGACATGCCAATTCCATCTATACTAATGTAAACATGTGAATGCCAAGTGTGATATGTGCTTACTACAGGTAAAATTTAAAAGAAATTTCTGTCTTTTTTAATTTAGCTAAATAATTACATAAAAGTAGTGTAGTTTTTTGTCCCTTTTTAATTAAAGAAAGTTTATAGAGATATAATTCTGGTACTGACCACAAGCTGGATGAAAAATGTCTACAGGATGAATGCATCCAGTACCTCAGCAATTGTGTTAAATGTGTGCACATTATTTAGTAGTACTTAATTATATATTTTTTAACTAACAAATTATCCTATATGCCGCGGATCTATACAAATATTGACTGGAAGAAACTCATGTCTCTTTCAGTGTAACAAATTAACCTGTTGTACTAATCTTTAACATAGTGCTTTTTATGTTTCTGTGTTTGATGTTAGGCTAGCACAGCAGCACTTATATAGGAAGCTACTTGTTGGATTTAATAAAATAAATACTGGTTTTTATTGCGCACTTTATTAAATAAATATTGTTTTTGTTGTATATTTTAATATTAATGATGAATTGTTGTGAAAAATTTAAAATGTATTGTTTACAGAAAAAAATTTGTTGTGGCTCACTGAAGTTTGAGAAATAAATTTTATGATATTGCACAGTTTATTGCTTGTTGTCCTTTTATTACTCTTGGTTCACCTCCATTAGATACATCTAATACTACATTAACTACTTCTTCATAATCAGGTAAGGCCATTGTTTGTAACTTTGAATAAACTAGTTTATCATTTAATAATATTTCAAAAGATCCTGTAGACACAGATTATAAATTTAAAAGTAATATATATATATATATATATATATATATATATATATATATATATATATATATATATATATATATATATATATATATAAGAATATGTTTAATAATAAATTATATAATTTAAAAATGTTACGGCTAAAAGTCAAAGTATGAGATACCTGGGTTTAACCAGCTACAACTAGATGTAGCCAATTGAAGTTTTTTAAAATATGATGTAGGTACTATAAAAATTTTTCAAAAATACTAAAGGGAAGCATTGGTGAAGTAATAATTTTTAAATAAAACCTCACTCCACACTAGGATTCCCTCCTGTTTCGTGGAGGCAGTTTACATACATAAATTTGACAAAGACTAGCATCTAAACCCAGAACAAATATTTGTAGACCATACTACCTACTTGTTTCACACGGGATTCGAGCCCGCGGCCCTTAGCGCCACAAACCATTGCGCTACAGAGCTATCAGTGACAGAAAAAAGTATAGGTATAATAAATTTTAAACCTAAGTTTATACAAACGCAATCAGCTACAACAAGCTGTATCTAGGCAAACCTAGATGTATCTGCTGCTAGGTGATTCTAAGATTAAAATGAAACAGGAGATGGGCCAACATATGTGTGGTAGCTATAGCACATATCTCCCTTATATATAGGAAATCTATGATTTTATTAAACTGAAAAACTATTAATATACATAATATTTATTATATAATATTTATTATATAATATATTAGGTATATTACGAATTTACTAACCTTGACGTCCCTTTTTACATATTACACTAGCATTAGTTGTACTTTTTTTAATAGCATTTGCAAGTGCAAGGCAGTGACCTCCGTAATCACAAGCACCACTGAAAAGTACAATCCAATAATTATTTTCTTATAAAAAATAAACGTACATAGTACATACCTACCACAGTATATTTTCATAATAAAAGGCCAAATACCAATATTCTATATGGACTTTGATATTATCTTTCATACCGACAGAAACCATTTTAATTAACAGTTATGTTATACATAAACAGCATCAATTAAACAAATATAAATAGTAGTCTCAACATACTCAGATCTTATTATTATGAAATAAACTTGATTATATATGTTAGGGATATTCACTTAACATCGATATATCGAATTTATTCGATGTTTTCCGAACGATATATCGGATTGATTCGATGTTTTGACAAATATTTATTGTATTCGATATATCGATATATTTATTTATAGAAACATCGAATATTTGCTTTATAATTTTTTGTCGAATCAATTAAAAAACTAAATAATTTTAACACTACTTGATAATTTCAATTTTAAGTAAGGTTCATTAAGTAGTGATATCTGTGAGTGACCAGCTTAATTACCAAATCTAAGCTGACAGATCGATCGACCATTCACTCTCGATGTGTGTAGTCTGTGGATTTTGTAGGTTCATTATATTTATTTCAGTCACTCACTTTCACACTTCTTGCGTCGTCTTCTGCTGTTTGGCGGTAACCATTCAATTAATCATTCTTTTGATTCAAGAAAAGAGCCTACTCCTTTTTAAAAGGCCGGCAACGCATCTGCAATTCCCCTGGTGTTGCGGTTGTTCATGGGCGGCGGTAGTCACTTACCATCAGGTGAGCCGCATTCTCGTTTGCCCCCTCTCCTATAAAAAAAAAAAAAAAAAAAAAAAAATTCTTTATCTAAGACAAGTTTATGTAAAATTTTTACTTGCTACTCGGGTTTCTGATTCTACATTCACACATACAAAATCAAAGACCACAAACTTTGCACGTTTCACTGGAGAAAGGTAATATTGAACTTTTGTGAAAAGTATTCGATAGTGAAAAAATATCGGTATTTTCTAGCGATATATCGATAAAAATCGATCCTGGGATCCGATGATTTACATCGAATATAAATATCGATATATTTTTTAAGTGGACACCCCTAATATATGTATTAGAGATTAAGTATTACGAATTTGTTACAAAGTAGGCATGAGCCCGATATATCAAAACGTAATTAATAACGGTATGTTATCAAATATCATATTATATCGATAAAAAAAAGGTACGCGAATGTTCATTACACAGGCACAGGTTCACAGAACACCATTACTCTCTAACATAGAGTATAGTAACTGTCCTATACGTTCTACCGCGATAAGAACGCCATCTGCAAACTAAAAAACTAAAATACGCGTCTCTATGTTTATTTTTTTAGCGCCACAGTTGGCGCCCATATGAAACTTTCTTTGCGGGAATTTCAAACCTTTGTATTCTGTAACTTTAAACTTTTTATTTAAGGCATATTCGAGTAATTTTGCCTCAAGCCTCACAAACCTATGGGGTAAATTCCCATTCATTTGAACAACCTGCACCAAAATTACCCGAATATACTTTAGATTAGTATGTGGGATAAAATAAAACTATAAATAAGTATAGTAATGTCATTTTATTTTCTGGAAGACAGATTGTTTTATAAACTATACATTATTATTGATGTTTTTTATTGCTTTTGCACATAATATTTCTACGCTTGTTACTGATATATAACACATGTTATTGTCAGAGAGTTATTCTTCACAGAACATTAACGTAAATTTAAATTAGCAAAACTCTCAAGGTGAAAACTTAGCTCAGCCCGAATACGTAATCTGAAAAAGATATAAGTCGATTCAATATAGTAATAATCCCTACAAATAACGGTTAATAAGTTCAAAATGTTTATAGACTTATCACAATATTGTTATAAATTTTTCTTTTCCTATTATAGAAAACCTGCAGAAAGTAATCAGATGATATTTTGTTTTTTATTTGCATAACACTTAAGAGCGTAGACGGGCTGCATTTTTTCCATACAAATGTATTCCCCTATTATCTTCCTGGATAATGCCTCTAAAGTAATCGTTTTTGTTTATAAAAATCCATTATATTTGAAGGCATGCCCCTGTCATTTATTTTTTTCCAAAAAATTATTACAAAAATAAATATGTCTTCCCAAAAACCTAAAAAAATGCCCCGTTTTTACTTCCGTAGTGAGACGACTACCAAAGAAA